TCCGGTTACAGATGCGATTCCCAACCCCCTGAGCCACAGTCGCCCAAGGCGACTCCCAACTCTTGAGCCACGAATAACAACAAGTCAGATTTTTTTTAAAGAAAACAAAGAAATAATTACATTGTAAGTAATTTTAAGTAATGTATAAGTAATGTCATAAAAGATGTAAGGGGCCAAGATGAATCCACTCCATTACAAATTTGTAACGTTGTTTGTTGTTCCAAAAGATTATGATAAAATTACACACAAAATTGCTTACACTGTACTAAAATTACTTTAAGTATATTTTATGTCTCATTTCCTGTAAAATAACTGACGTTACATAACACTTAAAAATACTTATGCATTAAGCAAAATTACTTACATTTACTTAGTGTATAGTTTTTTCTTTGTTTCTTGTAAAAATCTGACTTGTTGCTGCCTTACTGTAGTGTACCTACTTTTAACTTTTTGTATAAGTAAAATGACATTGTAATTTCAAATAAAATACACGGAAATTCCATTAAATTACAGGGGAATTACGCCCTTAGTCTAGGGTCGTATTATAAAGTGTTACCAACTTATGCAAACACACCATAAAACTATGGTGGCACGCTTAAAAAATTGCGGGAGAATACATTTTTGCAGCCTTTACATACAGAAATAGTAAAGTTATAACATACATTCATCCATATTTTGAAAGTCCTGGTTGAACTCCTTCTCTCCTGTTTTCTTGTTGTATTTCTTCTCAACAACATGCCCCCTGTCCTGGATGTGGTGTCCGATTTTCATCTTCTCGAGACCACTCTCAGAGTCTCTGATTGCTTGCCGGGTCTCCTTGATCTGGGGCGTGTTAAAAATAAGCACATATCATTAAAGTCATGTGACATAGGAGTTACAAGGAAAGCTGTAATAATACCAATAAAACAAGCTCATATTGAGAGTATATGACAGTCAAAGTGTAGACGTTTCTCATGTTGAAGTGGAAACTTACAGCACTAACATGCATTTAGTTTTGATATAATATAGTACAGTAATACATCCACAGGGTTACTTACCCCTCCTGGGGCACAGCGTGTTGACGACGTTGCTTGGTAGACCTTGGGAGGCTCATTTCCAACCTTTGAATATGTCATTACTGATGAGGAGCGAAATGAGTGGGTGTTTGAATCTGCGGACTCCTGAAACACACAGAAACAAATACTGTCAGGCAACAGTATAACATAATTTTCAATATCAATTCAGTTTTAGTTAAATCGTTCCAAATCACAACAATATTTGTTTTAAGGCACTTTATATTGTAAGTTAATAGAGAGAAAACACCAACAATCGGACAACCCACTATTAGCAACCACTTGGCAACAGTGGGAAGGAAAAACTCCTTTTAACAAGAAGAAACTGCCAAGAGAAACAGGCTGAACGTAAACTCACAAGGTTTCTGTGCATTCCCTCCATCCTACTTCTCATGCTGGCCATCATGTTGTCAAACACACCGAAAGGGTTTCTCATCAAGTCCTGCCCAGACACAATGGGAAAATAATAACAGTCATTTGACGGCTGGCCTCACATGGGTCACAAAACATTTTCAGCTCATAAACAGCCGCAGCATGCGTACAAACATACATTTAGCGCAGTGAAGTCCGTACATGTATCTTACACAGTTGCACATTTTATCACTTCACAATACTGTATCACGTTACCTCCTGGCATTCGTGACGAAAGTTTAAGCAAGTACAGCAGAGGATTCCTTGATCTGGATTTTCCTTGCATAGAGATATTAAAAATGGATAACTTCAAATGTTTCTGTGCTGCTTTTGTCAAGCCGGGTTTTCCCCTAATTAAATGGACCCAGATCTTACAGAAACAGATGCATCATCAGCCTTGTACTTCAGAAACTGCAAACCACTATGGTTACATCCTCATAACTTCTCAGAGTAAGACAAAGACCAATCACATTTTTTAGACTACTATACATAGCTAGACATAATCTTAATTGTGCCAAACAACGATGATGATGCCATAGTTGAGACCATTATAAACTAGATTATGTAAAACTACTAAAGCAACCCGCCAGTCATTCCACATACTGGTCACAGAGTTTTCATAGGAATTATTCATTGTATTTTTTTCAGAAGTTTAAAATAGACTCTGCCTTCATGTATTCTGAGTATTGTTACAAGTAATGTATGTGTTTGGGTGTAATCTAGCACCACAATAATATTTATGTTACTAATCATCTCCCAAACACCATTTCATGATTAACTTTGACTTTAAAGTGTTAAAGCCTTGAAAGAGTAATTTGATAGTTTAAATTTGGAGTTCAATTCAGTTTTACAACATTAGGGAAAAACCCCAAACAATATGTTATGAGGAAATACTCAGGGTTTATGGGACTGTGAGGAACCATCCATTACAACTGGTTACAGGGTAAGGGGAAACAGAAGAGAAAAAAGGAGAGCATAGAGAGACATGGACAAGACATTTTTGCAGAGAGTTGGCAGAAGTTTATAGCATGGAGTAGTGGCATATAAATGGATCAGAAGAAATGGTCGATGAGTGCTGGTTCCTGGACAAACAGTAGTGGACAGAACTAGTTACAGACTTAGGAGCACACACATAGCCTATATATGAGAAAGTCACATGAGTTTTAATGAACAAAAGAGAACTCTACTGACCGTACTGTCAATCCCACCAAATGGCAACAACGACCGGCTCATATCCTGGGGAGTCAAACAACACCAGTTTAGCAACACAACTTCACACACAATATTTGAATAATTTGGAACAGTAATAGTAAAAATGTCTGCATTATATACTTGTGATCATAAGTTCACATGTACTTGCCCTCATCACGTTGAACGACATTGTAGAACCTTTAGCACTACTCATTAAATGATTGGTGTATGTATTTATTTGAGCCTATATGCTTCCTTTTGACTCAATGGGGGTTAGAGAAAATCTGTATGCTGTGCAATCATTTTACCCTGGGAAAAAAACCCAGTTCAAACAAATCATTAAAAGCCTCAAATTAGCATGACATTGATGCCCATGATGAGTGTGTGTAAACTTTGGACAACAACTGTACATACATGTTCTAGCTCAGTGATATGTTGCTACATACAAAAACTGTAGACTTTCTATGTGTTTGCTGTGGTTATTGCCAGTAGCTGTTAGATTTTCATACATCAGTATGTAAGCCCTTGACACGATCACACACAACTCCCCACATAGCTCAAAGCACAGGCGTTCAAGGCCTTGAATCTTCTGGAAGTGAAAGGAGTGAGAAACCAGGAGGGGCCGGCCTGCAGGCTTCATTCAGAGTCTGTGTTCCCTCGGCCAAAATCACAGGTGTTTGTGACCCTTTGACCCTGGATAAACATCTCAACTGCCATCATGATGTGTGCCAATGGATTTTCAGTGAGTGTGATGCACAGTGGTATTGTGCGTGATCAGTGGGGTGTTGAGTGACTTGTGTTCCAAGTGTAATTGGGTCGCATTGCCAGAGATTAGTGTGGCTTGAACACTGAAACTGAGCTTCATTCATTCTAGGAAGGCTTCAGTGGGCAGGGTGGACCACTGAGGACAGGAATCTCACAGCGGTCCCAGAGTCCAAGGCTGCTCTCTCAGCTCTTTTCAAAGGTCAAGCTGATGTAAAATGCTCCTGACCCGTATCTATGAGGCCCTCACAGCCATTTTTATCCCACAGTGGCATCTGTGAACTAATAAATGCCAGTTACATATCTGCCAGCATTATATTTAGACCAGGGTTGAGCAGAGGAGAGACTGAGGGTGAAAAATAATGTGGTCTACATGTTACACATTATTTTTGGCTGGTGGATAGCTGAAAATTGATCTTTTCTGTCTGTCAGTTTGATATTAAACCTACAACTTTGCATCCCGAGGCAGGCTGCAGGAACCAAAGAAGTGATAAATCACCAGAAAGTTTTTTTTTCGTTAAATTTGTTCTCTCAGAGCTAAACGACTACAGAGAAGGTAAAGAGGCACTGAGTCAGGTGACTAACATTAATAGGCGAATAAAGCCAACTTTCTACATTTTTCTAGATTTTTTTATTCAGTGTAAACAGAATATTAATCAGCAACAAAAAAAAGAGCTCACACCTTTGTAACCCTAACTAAACAGAACCAACTGTAGAATTACAGTGAGGCTTGATTGTCAGTGATACTTTTGTAAACAAATGCCTTTATGAAGACATGTTTTGAAATGTAATATAAACCCGGTGGCTGATATTGGCAAGCGACAGAGAAATGTGAATACTCAAAGCAGCCATGGAAGGTAAGGCAGGACTTACTGTCCTGCTGAGAATCTAATGCTTGGTAAGCGAATACAAGAAGTACAAGCCTTCCAGCATTTATGTTGTCAGTGTGTGTGTGCCATTGCATCCATGTTACTCTGTAAGCTGCGACTGTGCGTAATTATGCTTGTGAAGATGTTTTATTGATGTATTTTTGCGTGCACATTTGTGCCTGTGATATTGGAGAACAGTTAGAGGGAGCGAGTGAGCTGTCTGTCGTGCAGCCGCTAATTGCAGCACCATTGCCAAGGCACATTCTGCCAAACAGATGGATGAAAAGAGCAACAATGAATAAGCCGAGTGTCCGTGACATCTGTACATACAAGCCACTGCAAAGACAATAACACAGCTGCACAGCTTCAGACCACTCTTGGGCGGCATTTCTCCTTATCTTCAGATAAATGAGGCAAAGCAGAGACTTAATTTCATATGTCTTACCACACAGTAGGTCTTCTGATTGTTGTTTTAACAAAAGTGTAAGAGAACGCTACAACTGTAGCTTGCCTCCACCAGTGTATGAATGTGAGAGTGAATGAATAGTGGTATTGTAAAGCGCTTTGGGTGCCTTGAAAAGCGCTATATAAATGCAATCCATTATTATTATTATTATTATTATTATTATTAACACAACAGGTTTCTGTAAACCAGATTTGCTGTTAAAGGAAACAACAGAGCAGCACAACAGCTTTCAGTGTAGCCCCTTTCTTGTCCTTGACTTGAAGGAGGAAGTGTCTGTTCTGTTATGTGTAGACTATAACAGGGTGAATGAAGATCCACCGTTCGATGTTTATTCAGTGCCCCAGGCTGATGAGCTCCTGGACCAGTTAGGGTTTTCAAAACCCTGTGTTTGGAACACTGTCAGATTTGACATCTCAGCAGAGTACAAGCTGAAAGCCGCTTCTTTAGTCTGTCAGTTTGTGGTACTCCCTTCTAACTTTTCTGGGTCTCCATGATGTGTTGTATCCACATGCAGCATACACTGCACATATCTGGATGATGGTAGGATTCCAAGCAAATGCTGGGAGAAACATGACATGGTGCATGATGGGAAGCATTATCCAAAGTTAAAGTTAACTCCAGTAGTCACTGGGACATAAAAAAAAAAGTCTGATTAAAAAAAAGAAAAAAAAAGAAAAGAAAGGTTTTTAAAAGATTTGTTTCTGGACGCTATACTTATATTCTCCCACAGACCTAAATTCCTGGGATTTGTAAGTTATGAGTGGGTGTTTTTTCCCTGAACTGCACAGCTCTAACAAGGCCCCTGACCAACCTAACTAAGATTGACTCAGATCTGGTGAAGCAGCCACTCTGTAGAGAACCACACCTCCGCTCACCTTACCTCTCTCCTATTTATTCTGCAGGTTGATGCTTTAAACAAGAGGGTGAAGCAGTTCAGAGCAATCCGTCAGTCCCACTTTCTAGGATTTGCCTTGTGTCCATGACCCCCTGCAGTGCCTCCACTGCTTGAAGGAAACCTAGATCACCTGGTGGTTCTGTCTTTTCAGTGTTTTAAGCTCAAGGTGGTCTATAGGCTGTGCGTGCAGATAGTTGTGGCAGACTTCCTCTCCCACTCTCATTAGACAAGTAGTAAGAGCTTCCCTCTCAGCTGGCATTAGCTAGTTAAAGGTATGGTGCTAATAAAGAGAAAGCAGACAGCTGGCGATTCAGGGCAGGCTTCTGATGTAAGTCATTATCAAGGATATAAATACAGGCTCTCATGAGGTAGTGGGATCAAAGCAGGTGACGGGAACTAAGTTTGACTAAAAGCAGGCAGTGGAGGGGCGATTTGGAAAAGGTTAACGGGTGCAGTAGCAGGTCTAAACTAACCCCTGGCCTATCTACTCGTTATTTCATTGCATCGAGGACAGTTAACATCAAAAAGTTCCGGTCATCTGGTCAATGAATACTGTCTAACCATCATATCTTGAGGAAATATGTTGCAAAGCCATGGCCTTAAGCTCAGGGTATAAGACAAATTGCATGCAATAAAAGATTATTGGGATAACATTGCATTTAATGATGACAGACCAGCTAAAGTAATATCTAAATAAATACTTATCTTCAGCAGAGAAAAGCAGAGTTCTTTGGGGTCATATGCCTTGGAGTTTTCAAGCTTTAAGACTGTGCATGTTTTTGCAAGAAAGCAGTGTGTCAGTGGAACAATGCACTATAAATAGGGCTCTTCAGGGCTAGATATAACTGTCCTGAGAGGCCAAGGGGGTTGCCCTTTCACAAAACCAAAGACTCACATGGACCCATACCTCAGTGAGAGGTGCCAGTGGCAGGCTTCCAGTATAGCCTTAGTAAACTCAAAATACCAGCCATCTGTGGTTATAAACTCACAGATCATAAGTGTTACACTTAAGCAGAGGCTTCATTCATTTCCCTTGTAGAGCTAAACTGGTGGTGTCTATTACATGTTAGCTGAGTTTACAAGTTGACGAAACACGTTCTCACCCTGTGTTCGTTTCTCAGTGGATGGGATGAACTGGGATGTTCTACCATCTCGTGGCCACGGTTTCTCCCATCCATTAGACTTGGCATAAGGGCCCCACCGAAAGGCTCGGAGAAGCTACGCATCATCTGCCGCATATGCTCCCTATGTGCACGGAAAGGATCCCTGTGGGAAAGGAAGAAGTAGTAAAGACAAAGTGTGTCTCAATATTCGCTAAGGAAAAGAAAAGGAAAAGAAAAAACAGAAATAAAAAAAGATTTATGTTTACATGTCAGAATGACTTACATCTTTTAGTTACATGAGCTTGAAACACATTATAGACAAAGTCTTTACTGAAGACAACACACTGAAATATGAAGGACTCCTAATATAATTTTAGCCACCTTTAACACTTGCCTTAGAAGTCGGGTCAAGTGTGGCTGCCCTAACTAAGTGATAGCACAGTGCCAGTGTAGACACTATACTACACTTTCTGCAAACTGCACTGGCTCTTCCTTGTAATGATAGAAAGCTGCATCAAAAACAAATATGGACACAAAGTAACGCCCTTGTATTTATTTTTAACAAGTAAAGGGGTTCACATTAAAACCAACTATAACAACTTAAACTTATTAAAAACTGTATCATATCACAGTTACTGTGCTCGGTGCAAAATTGCAGTAACACGACTAAGTCAAGGAAAACTATCAGGCTGTTATTGTCTTGTATATTGCACATCTAATTAACCGAACAACAGATAACACAGTCAATTTAGTTAGGTCTAATGTGCCAATGACAGATTTTAATAAAAACAATATTCCCACTGCTGTTCATCCGCGTGATAAATTGACAAATACATACACGAATGAAGATTTAGCAAGACTTCCAAACTGAAAACCCAACAGATTTGAACAGTGACAGCTCTTAAGAAAAATTTAACACACTGGTTCAGTTACTCACGAGGCGAACGGATCTTCATCAAACTCCCTGAGACTGCTGTTGAACATTTTCAGGTGTTTTCGAAGCGGTAAAGTTCTTCTAGAAAAAATCCGCCACAGGTGTCCGGAGCTCGCCGCTCAGCCTCGGTACCGTTACTATAGAGGCGATGACAGGCAACCTGATGTTAAAAACAAAGTCGCGCTGACGGCAGACCACGTGGTACGAATCCGTCCCTCGAATTGGCGGGTTCATCATGGGGTCCGCGCGCTGTCTGTTGTGCCTGGCTGCTATGGCAACGCAACTCTCGAAATTTCTTGGAAAACTGAAGTTTCTTATCCTGTTAATGTACGTTGCTGCAAAAAGTTGAAGTGTGTTTATCAGACTTATTCAGACAAGGAGCTGTTACATTCATACAGTAAGCTATGCCACTAAATAACAAAAAAAAGTAGACATATCGGTGACATGAGGGAACTCTCTGGAGCATTTGCTGGAGTGATTCTTGGAAGACATTTGTAAGAGTGGCTCTGTTTAAACAGTAACCCTATCCCAGAACATGCCAGGAGGCCATGCACACAAGTAAAAGTTGCACTTAACCCCATGCAAGCGCCCACACAGGCAAGCTTAATTTTGTCGCTTAGTTAATGACACATTCTTATTTATTATTTCATCGCAACACTCACTATTTGGAGAGTACTTGAGTGACACAGTGCATCCTAGAAGCAATATAGATAACCATCTGGCAGTTCCACAAATAGACCTGAGTGTAGACTCAGCTCTGACTTGGATCCAATCTTGCTGAAACATGGATACAGCACTAAAAACAAACACAAACATAAATAACTAAGAAGCACACATCTGATATATATATGTGTGTGTTATCTATATTTATATATATTTAGGCCCTAGGCAGATGAGAAGTCATCTGTTTCATTCTTATGCAACGCTCCATGGTGTAATTTGGAGCCTTACAAATAAAATGCAAAATGTCACAAGTTTGTGTTGTTTCTTTCATGTCACGTCCAATTCTACTTCATTCACACAAAGGCACAAGACAGCTTTCATTTGCACAAACACACAGAGCACTGTGTAGCTCACCTGTCACTTCTTTTTATTTTACTTCCAAGGCTCCAGGCTTCCTTGGATTTTTTTTTAAGTGGTCTTGATCAGTAGTTCTTCGTGCTTTCAGATGCTCTCTCAAAGTTTTCCTTTGGGTGCTTACTAGCATACACTGCTCTTCCCACTTACTTTCAGTCAGGTACCTAACTCAAGGGATGAACCAGTTGGGTCCAGTGGTACACATAAATGACTCAGCAAAGACAGTAAGTATCTACAGCCATCTGCAAAACATGGTGGTGCTGTCATTGTGTGGTGCTGTCATTGTGTGGTGCTGCATTTCAGCCGGTGGTGTTGGAGATATTGCAAAAAGTTGATGGAAAATTTTTGATCGATGCTGAAATAACATGTGGAAAGCACCTGACTGGCAACAGTGTGATTTTTCAGAATAACAATGATCCAAAACACAATACCAGTGCAGTAAAAGCATATCTGGATAGGGAAAAAACAAACAAAAAAACCCCAAACCAGACACACAAACACAAACAGCCATAGTTTGGCCTCTCCAGAGCCTGGACCTCAGTTAAGGTAGTTAAAGCTTGGACCTTAACTGACAGTAAGATTTCCCTTCATTAAATATGAAATGTGTAAAAACAAAAGAAAAATGACGATCTTAACAAAAACACACACAAACAGCACACATTGAAACCAAAAAATGTTTATTTGTACAAAGTTTCACTAGTCTGTATAATTACTAAGAGAAATTAGAGGAAGGGGGATAAAAACATTGTGATGTCCTGAAACATGAGAAAATATGACAGGTGCTAAAAGAAAATAACACCAAACATGAATACATGAATGAGGTTCAAACGCAGACTGAAACTGTCCTGGGAACAGGAAAGACCTCTCGGGTCACCGATGCTGCTCAGGGCACAGGGCTTCCCATCAGCCTCTCCTGTCGCAGCGAGATCAGCCTTAGCAGCCACAGCTCCTCAGCCTTCTCCTTGTCCAAAAACAACTGCAGACCAACAACGAGAGGATATGTTAGTAAACACAAAGACAAAAGGCACATCTGTACTATGGACTGCTATGAAACCATACAATCATTTTCTTTGATTTTGTTAGTGTACCAAGTCACTATGATTGAGAAGAAATCACAGTAGAATAAAAAAAATTTTTTTAATCTGATAATAAGAAATTGAAATCCTCAATAACTATGACCAAACGGAAACAGCACAAAACAGTTTGATTTTGATTTCTGTAATGAAAATTCTCACACCTGAGAAATAAAAACCACACGATCTTTTCTTTAAAAAATTGATTTGAACAATCCATCAAATACACAGATATTTAAGAGTTAAACCTATATTAAAGCAGCATCTTTAAAAAAAAAGAAAAGTGATATGGAAGCAATCCCTCTCAATGATCACATAATCCAGTGTACGAAATATGTGGCAGTGGATTTATTTGAACTGACCCTGACATGCTGTTATTAAAGATAGCTCGTTTTATCTAAGACTACATTGCAAAAGTGAAGCCATTCCTCTGTTTGAGAGAACTACCCATGCCTTTATCTTGTCTCGACTCGATTATTGTACTCTTCTTTATTCAGGTGTCAGTTTGCTGTTGGTTAGCCAAGTACAGCTGGTCCAAAACACTGCAGCGCGGTAATTAACTGACTATCTCCTATACTAGCATCCCTACACTGACTGCCAGTCAGTTTTCAAATCAATTTGAAGATTTCATTAGTTGTTTTTAAGCCACTGCATAGATTAGCATCCTAGTACATCTCCGATCTTTTAAGTTGCCTCATTCCTTAAAGATCACTGATGTCTGCGGAGCAAATGCTCCCAGCTGTGCTGAGATCCAGATTAAAGCACAGAAGAGATTGGGCCTGATTCGGCTTTTTTCTGGCAGAAAATATGTCTATGTATCTAATCTAATATTTAATATCTAATATGTAGAGCCCTACAAAAAAGAAACACATTGCCATGTAGCTAAATATGCTTAATTTAAAAAAAAAAAAGGTTATATTTTATGGCTACTGCAACATGCAACATCTAGCCAAAAAAGCTTCCACCTGGATTTAGCTAAGAAAGCAGGAAGGAACTTTAAACACTCTTAAACAACCATGTTGGAAGGAACTAGCATACACTGAAAAATCTCATGATACATGCCAAACTACTAAAATTGCGTTATGACCTTGTTCACTATCTTGTTCAAAGAATAAATGTAGTCATTAAAAAAATCTAATGATCTGAGAAAGCTATGTTTAATGGTGAAGGTAAGTACTTTTCCACAGACGCCATGTGAAGAAAACTCACTAAACAGCTGTGTGGTATTAAAAAAACCCACGCTTATCAGTGAGGCTAAGACTTTGATTTGGTATGAAGCATAAAGATTGAATTCTGCAGCAAAGAAAAAGGTCACATGGTTGGATGAGTCCAGATGTTCCTGCTTCCAGATTGGTGGGTGCATGGGGTAAGGAGAGAAATATCATGCCTCATGGCTACTGTACATGCCTGTAGGGGGCAGTGTTATGATCGGGGGTTGTTCCAGTTGGTTAGATCTGGATAGAGCAGCATCGCGCATCCAAATAAAACGAGATCAGCTGAAAACCTGAATTTAGTGAAGTCATGCATGAAATAATTTTCACACATGGATTGGCCACCACAGAATCCAGAATCCATTGATCAATCATAACATAGTCACCAGCTCCAGGTGACTCTACATCCTGAATGAAAATAAATCAGAAGTAAATCAGTTAAGTTTCCCTGTAAGTAAGAGAGCACGACATGGAGTAGTCTGTGCTGCTCGCTGAGACCCATGAGGACAGATTAATGATGCTGAAATACAAGTGAAGTCTTGGGCACCTTACACATCTTATCAGTCCTTTTCTATCTACTCAGCCCTAAATGCACATAAGAAAAACCTTAAAAAAAACATGTAACTCTCTTCTTGTCCCATAGGCCTAGGTGGATGTAAAAGCCTGGTTATAGAAAAGACCAACGCATGCGACTTGCATTCACCTCAGTGCTTCACCAGCAGTAATGATATTGATTGCAAGTGGGGTATAAAAACTGCTGCTGCAAGTGCCTGATGAATGAAGGCATCTGTTTATTACAAAGTAACATAATGACTGCGAGGCTGTGAAGCAAGGCGCTGAGACACAGGGGGAAAATTGGAAGATCATTTCTATATTCACTGCATGTGTTTGTGTGAGGGTGAGAGATAATGTTGACATGCTGACTATGTGTACATACTGTACATCTATGTGGTGATGTGTCCATTATTATGCAGATTGCAGCGCAAACCCCGGGCATGCCAATCCTTCATTCCTAACCTACGCTGCTTACAGCTGCACTGCATGTTGGCTCCGTGTTAGATTCAGCACCAGTGAGTTCTTGTCTGTCGGCCCTGCGCTGGTGTCACGGTGCTAATGAGGCTGTGTGTGTGGGATGACAGTATCTGAGCTGGGCTAATGGGACTCATCTGTTCTAATTGGAAGTAGAGCTGGAGCTGGAGCAGGGGCTGGGGCCCGCCTGGGGCATATTGCTACCATACATCAGCCTGTCTAAGGGTGTGTATGTGTGCGGATTTGGCTGGGGGGCACTGTGTGTGTATGTAAGATGGTGTGTGTGTGTGTGTGACGGGGGTTATCTGCATACATCAGAACATAACTTAGTTTCCCCAGTGGAGATAGATGACTGGGAAGCCCCAGGGAGCATTATTGGAGTTTAAAGTTTTCCTTCTCGTTTTTCATCGTTGGTCGGCAGAAGAGGAGGAGGTGGTGATGTAAGGCGGCACTAAACTGCTGTAGCACAGTGTCCTGCTTGCTATATGCAGGAGTGGTGTATCTAGTGGTGATGACAGCAGCAGCATTTTTAACATAAAAACTTTACAAAGTTTGTCCACAAATCGATAAATTCAAGCGACACAAATGACAAGATCAACTTCAGCGATGCCTCAGGATTAGAAACTCCTCACTGGCTCGGAGGCTGTTAAAAAGTTGGCTTTTATGGAGAAGAACGACAGCTTGTGGGTCATACTGTAGCAGAGGAAAACAGCAGAAGGGTTTGCCTGGTGAGAACTTACACTTGGATGAGCAAGCGTGTCAGTGTCGCTGTATACTATTGATGTGGGAAGTGTGACGTCCTGCGAATATGCCCTCTCTGGCTCCTGCTTCACCTCAGGCAGCTCAGTCTGTACTCACAGGAATAC